AAATTTACAGGTGATCATGTATTGTGTTATATTATATTTCTGGAAAATTTAAGGGGTAATTATATAATAATTTTGGATGATCTCGGGCGGTCGGATACTTATGACCGCTACTGTATCTGTCAAAATACTTGGTAATCCAATTAATTTGGTATGCCAATCCAGATATTTGGTGGTTAGTATTTTATCAGACTCAGTCATTTTCCTTTTTATATGACTGCAATCAATTTAAATCCATTTTTTCTTCCTCCAGTCATTAATTCGAAAAAAAAAAAAAATTTCCCAGATAGATTATCATTAGCATAGCTAACCTAGTGAGACTACACAACTATCTCAATTTCGCGCTGTTCACATTTAATAAAGTAAGATCTGGCATTATACATACCTTCTATTTCTTCATCATCATGACCTAATTTGCATAATGGGCAGATGTAGTCCCCGCATGATGTCTCATCAGTAATTCCATAATAATTGAAATTTTCAATACTACATTCTCTATATAGATTAGGATATTGATCCAATATCTTGTTGCGAAAATAGGAATGATCGGGTTTAAATTGAGGTGCAGATAATACATTTGCTGATGTATTAACCTCAGTTGATTCCAAAGCCAGTGGAGCATTTATAATTCTTTCTCTGGTTTCAGGATTTTTGGTTACATTATTTTGACCAGGGCCCCCGGCTGAAATCCTAACCATATTGGTTAGTACTTCTTCCACATCAGTGTTATCGTTATCATTATGCTCGGATAAATTATCCCGCCTTTCTGAGGCCTCTATGATATCTTGAACTTTATCATTAGTCAACTCAGAAATAGAGTTCGCACTATATGTAGTAATATACTTAATATTCTCTACGCCTACCTTTTCAAATATTTTATATATCTTTACAGCTTTCTGAGTTTTCCTTTGTAAGTTTTTACGGGAGATTTCTGGGAGACGTAATCCTGTATCTTCAGATCGTTGCTTTCGCAACATGGATAGGTGTTCCAACATTTTATCATAGATTATTCCCTTTGCCTTTTTTTCGCCTATTTTGCCTTTTCCATCTTGTACAATCACAGTAACCTGGGTTAAAAATTCCTTTCCATAATAATACCAGCGCAAAATCTCTTCCTGATTAGTACGAATTGCGCCATATTCAGCATCATCCGCTTTATTGAATAATTGTGCTAGAGAAAGCAATGAATCTGTAGATGAATTTTGGTTAAGGCTCTCAATTGAAATCACATCGCAAGGAATGGTTTTGTCGCTCAATTGAGCATCATCCTTAATACCGTCAGCTATCAATTATACGATGTTTTCTGCACCTTTCTTCCTATGGCTATTTTGGCCGGGGGCCCCGGCTGAAATTTTAGTCACGGGATTCGATACCTCCGGTATCTTTTCAGAAGTGGAGCACCCGGTGTCAGATTCTTGATCTTGGTTAAGAGATGCTTGCTCTGCTTTGCTAAGTTTCTTTTCCTTATTGCGTTGCTTTATTTCACTACTAACGATTTTCTTATGAGCCTCAAGCAAGAAACTATCCATCTCTTTCTCCTCTAACAGTTTTTCATGATGGACCACACCCGAATTGGCCGAAGGCGCTAAAGCAAAGTTAGATGAGTTTTTGTTAGGGGTATTATCATTAGAGGTATTATCATTTAGTGTTTGCTTCTGTTCCACTTTCGTGAGTCTATCTCTAAACTCAGATTCCAACTCCTCAATTCTAGCCTTGAGTTTGGTATTCTCAGCATCACGTCTTTCATTATATTCTGCATTCGATCTTAGAGTCTCCGCATTCCTACGCTTAAATTCAGCTATTTCAGCATCAGACACTGAGAGCTTGAATCTAAGATCGCGGATCTCAGTATTCTCCTTCCTAAGCTCTACATTTTCATCCTCAAGCTTGTCGTTCTTAGCTTCAAGTTCAGTGATACGCTGTTTCAATAATTCAAGCGAGAATGATATGATCTATATATATATAAAACTAATACACTGTATATAACCATTCAAAATAAAAAAATATTATTGTGTTTTTGACCGGGCGCCCCAGCTGAAATTTTTTATTATTACATGCAAAAAATAAATACAAATGTTCGGGACTGTGCTCGGGATATATGACTTCTAGGCTAATATACATGATTATTTTTTCGAAAAAGATAAGACTATCTTATTTATTTTCTGTTTTTACCCGCTTCAATGATTCCTGTGATTCTATCTGGCGATCGAATACCCACTTGATTTGCCCAAACAAATTCTTGAGTTTTTCAAGCATAAGACTTTTGTCGAACACACTCTCGTTAATAGGAAAAGTAAATGGTGTTCGCGAACTCAATAATACCTCAACATTCCCATTATCATTGTCATTACATTCGCCGGTAGTGACTAACTTAATTATGACCCAGTCGACCCCTGTCAAAACGATACCATACATTACATCTTCACATAAAGCCTCATTGTATGTGCGTTTCTTTTTATTACGTTGAGACGAAGCTTGTAACTGAATTGCATTCTGACCAACACCCTGGTTAATATCCTCCCTTTTAGCCTCGGTGACGACAATAATCGTATCTCTAATCTTGATAACCCAATCCACTGGCCCTTTACCATGGCTTCCAGATAATTCATATTCTGGACATACTTTCACTTCACCATCATAGCAAGAGGCAACACTGTGAAGAACGGAAGAAATAAATTCGCGTCTTGTTGCTTCGTTCGCACTAGTGACGTGAATGCAGGTCTTATGCTTTATAGCTATATCTTCCAAAACGTGCTCCAATATCTTTCGTAATTGGCTGTGTCAGCTAACTTTCCATCGAACCTGGGGAGATCAATATAACTATTGGCTGTTAATCTGAATAACGTCTTGATTTGGGGAAATGTCCACGACGAAAATGGCTGTTGCGCTATAAAACATCCAAATTAATTTTTGTTAGAGGCATGCCACACCTAGTAATTTATTCTCAAAAAAAAAATAGCCAAAAGACGCTTCGCAAACCGATACTTACATGTGTTCACGACGATTAGAAAATCCACCTTGAATCCTTGAGTCCAGATTACACTTGCCAAATCCTCATCATCAACTAAACAAATAATTTCCTTTTCATTACCACCACACTCACGATTTATAACAATATGTTCGTCCTCTGTCCCATCCGGAAATGTGAAACATGTGCGAAGCCGAGACTTCAAAGCAGATAAGGTTATTTGTCCGCAGGTTACGGTCCACTGAAACTTTTTTGACTTACGCCCATACGTTGCGTGCAGTGAACTTCTTTCGTCTCAACAGGATGCTGTACGATTATATGTATGTGTTCGTCGGCTGGCTGAGAGGGAAAGTGTTTGCTAATCTTCGAAAGAGGTGGAAGTTCCTCACCACCAAGGTCCTCCTTGATATTAACATTTATTTTTGTGTTGACGAGCTCAAGTTTCTTGTTTTCTTCTTCAAGGGAAATGTCGACCTTCCATAGCTTGAGTTTGTCAGCGTTAACGTTAGCGAAGTCATTCTGTTTCTTCTCCTTGATAGCGTTCCTGAAAAAACTAACTAGCTTCGTTGTATCTATTTCAACTGCGAAAGCATTTTCATAAGGGTTTTCATTCATGACTAAACAACTGAGAGTGATAGATGATATAGCGCTTTTATATGGTTATTAGGCTCGGACAAAAAATAGTGTTACTTTCCGGAGTGAGATAAAAATTTATTTCAGAATACTGGGCATTAATATAGGTTTTTATGTAGCACAAGCATTGCATCATTACACGTGACCCGTTTCTCATAAATTATACGTTCGATAAAATAATACTTTATTTATGAAATAAATCGTTGCCGGAAGTCGGCCTACAATACATAAAATTTGCGACTACATCGCTATTACATGATGTAAATAAAAAAAATCTAATTATCTTTGCTTAGTACCTCTGGCACCCTTTCAGCGGGAGGGTACACAATAACATTAATTCCCTTTTCACCACCAAAGATACGTTGGGGTTGTATAGGAAAATGAGTAAAAATGGTGTCTTGCGGTTCCATTCTTATTGCACCTTCTACTTCAAATTCACTGATGTTTCTTAAGTCGTTGATTATGACACTATCAGCTATAAATGCGACCCTATATAAAGCCAAATTTGTCGAATCTATATCTTGAAATCAATCTAAACGACAGGTTCTGATTGCCTCCGCAAGAGAAGAGACTCTATTGTTGTTAGCGTTAGATATCGTTACTTCGAAAATATCGTTCACTCCCTCATCAGAAATGAGACAGTTGAGAGTAATATTCCCACTAGCGAGAAACTTGTCAAGCTTGTCAGGAGTCTTGGTCTTATCAGATTCCTTGGTCTTATCAGACATCTTGCTTTCCTAAATACAAGACCCATGGTGAGAAAAACTCGCTCCCATACATACATAATTTAGGGCATATACATACCTTATTTTGCGTTATTTTCTCTGGGAAAGTTTTTTGCGGAAAGTTGGCTGAACTTCCACATACCACTACATGCTTTATATCTTGCTGGGAAAAAGTTAAGGAGGTATGAGGTGTGATTAGCATTGTCGTATGATGCTAAGAGTTTTATGAAAGCACATGTAAACAGAATCCTCATACCTTTTCACATAGAGATCTACCAGAAAGACATATACTTGGTTTTATGCTTGGCGATCTCGAAATTGTGAGTCCCTCAGCCCTTCATAACATATGCTTTTGTCAATACTATTTGCTTTTAGGGTAAGTCCTGTGTTGCAACTAGACCTCCTTTCACATTTTTCTCATGTTTGTTTGGGGAAAAAAATAGATGTACTGGTTAATATGTTTTCTTTTCGAATGTATATGCGAAATTAATATGTCACACAAGACCTGACTGTGTGATCGGCCATTACATCATTGCACAGAAATCTATGGCTTAGCAAATTCTTCCGAGCTGAAGCCCGTTCTGGTTGATGATCAATATTCCGGACACAAGATTTCCTCATTAAATATATTACTTTATTATAGCAATCATGGTGAACATTAATACCAAAACACTTGCTTAGTTTTATGGAGTGCTTTTATATAGGAAGAAGGATATAATAGCTATTCAGGAAAAACTCGGTATTGGTGGGAATACAAATCAGTTGGCAGTGCCTCCAGATTCTGAGCTCATGGGAAAAACACTTGCTGATTCGTACGAATTGTTGTTAGAATTGGTAGGGGATTTAATACCGATACAGGAGAATCTTAACATTGATAGTAATCCTGTTCTAGAAGTGGAATATCGAAGCAATGAAGCTTCTACAGATATTTCATTGGGGGAGATATTTAATTTGCTTATGTATTTGGAAGATGATATAATAGCAATTCAAGAAGAGCTTGGTATTATTGGTTATTCTAACCAAGAAAGGACAGAAGAGGCCGATAAAAATGCAAGAGTATATCTCCAAAAGTTTGAGGAGTTTCATGGTCCCTTAGAAGATGTCCCAAGTGTGCTAATACAGAAATTCATCGATAGGGGGGTAAAAATGTTTATTTTACCGGAGAAGGGCTTCCATTATTTCCGAAGGTCTCTCCTCAACAATTGCACGAAATATTCGTCAAAAATTTGGCTGGCGCAGATCAGTGCCCATGTCTAGAACAGGTTAGCTAATCTATATTTTTTTGTCGCAAAATCTGTGGCTCAGCAAAATCTTCCGAGTTGATGATCACTGCTCCGGATTAGTTAGATTGGTAGAGTTTCACCATTCTGCTTGATTGTCAAGTAATGCTACCGAATAATCTCTTGGTGCTTGTCTGATTATAGCTATAGTGGAGTGATCGGCACCAGAGTCCACTGTCATAGATATATTGGAATTAAGTTGCTGGTATAACTGAGATAAAATTGGATTCAGATTATTATCAACACTATGCCGGGTGTTATATAGCCGTCTTATCACTTGCTCTATCACAGCTTGATTATCAAATGGACCCCGGAAAATCTCGACATGAGTATTTGGATTTAGCTGATCTAAGGCTTCTTTGTTAATATAACACCCTCTCAAATTAATATATTTTAAATTAAGACATAATCTAGCAACTTCTTTGATAGTCATATCAGTAATTTCACAAAAGGAAATGTCAAGATGTCGGAGCTTTGGAGAGGAACGAATAATACCGCAAATTGAATGTTCAGTAATCTCTATGCGATAGGCGATATTTAAATATTCTAATTTATGGCATATCTTTGCGATCCTTCATAGACCTCCATCATCTACTTCTTGAACATGGAAACTCGTAAAGCCACCCGACTGATCATCGCACAGATTGAGATACTTCAGATTCGGGTATGAACCCGCTATCAGTTCTAATGCTCTATTACTAAATTCTATGCTATTTATGAAACTCAAATAGACTATATTTGGGCATGAATGTACAATGCTTATGATTTTTTTATCTGAAAGTGAATGGTAATATGATATTTCGAGATGAGTTACATTTGAGCAATAATCTAGCGTTTGCTTCCTACGTACTAGCTTTATGAATTTTTTCAATCGAGAGAGATCCTTTGCACGTTCTATCCTTATGAATTTATTTAATCGAGTGTGATCCTTTGCACAGTAATTATAATCATTTGGAAGAGATTGTCTAGGATATAAGTCTTTTCCCTTTAGCTCAATATGCCTCTATAGGATAGGGGCACCACATCTGTACCACAATCGAGAAACAAATAGGGTGGGATAGAGGGATTTATCTATCAATAAGAAATATAAAATTTGTTCTAATAGTTCTGGTAAATAAAAGATGTTTGATTGCGTCATACATAATGCATTTTATATGTTGTATCTTTAAACAAAAAAATAGCAAAGCACCATCGGGGAAATTACGCAATCACTGCTTCAAACTACAGTAGATCAGAAAACATCTGCATAGTAGAAGGCATTATGTTAAACTAGCAAATTTAATAGTTATACATATTGATAATTTCAGATATTTCATCATTTTCCGCTGTCTCCGATTCCAACCCTGGATTATGGTCAGATTCAGGACCGAAGTTTTCTGATTCTGTATCGCCTATAGCATAATTATCACCTGCATCAAGACGGTCAGATTCTTACCTCATTGCGATTCTCGAAAGCAGTTTAAGATGCTGGGGAATTAGTTTCTTACCACCATGAATTCTGGAAGCGTGTTTACTTCCATAATCTCTTAATTTTTTAGGTATAGTTCTATAAGATTCTTGCTTCAAGAATTCATTAAATGGCCAAGCACTACGTGTTCCACTTTCAGTAAAGACAGGGTTAGATAACTTTTTAGCCTTAATTGCATCTTGAATCCAGGTGAGTAATTCCCTAGCACGTTCTGGATTCTTCTCCATGAAAAGAAATGGTCGGGGATCAGGATTCTTCTTCTTTTCTCCTCTACTCTTTAAATAGCCTGTACAGTATCAAGAATAACCCTCTTTATATCATAATGGAATGTTCGAAGAGTCCGGTTCATAGTAATTGATCTGAAGAGATCTTACTTTTGCAGGTCTCATACTCAACATCACTACCACATTCGCGAGATTCTCTCTAGTAGGAATTTTGGAAATATCCATGTTCTGAATCTTTTTACTCACATTTACTAAGGAGAAATGTATAGGAATTCTGTCCAGATTAGCCATTCGCTTTTTAGTTCGTTCTTTCTGAATTTTATTAGAATCTTGAATAAGATTCTTATCTTTGGCAAATTCTTCAATAATTGCAGGATCTACACCACCTTCTGCTAAGTTTACACAGAATGTTGACTGACGTGAGACACCGGTAACGATTTCATTTTCATCTTTATTTTTCAGACCCAAGCGTCAATGATTAGCGACAATGTCTATAAAATCGCCAGTCTTAGCACAATATTTTGCCCTTTCCTCTATGATGAGTTTTCCCTTTCTTTTATCTGGTAAGAGAGCCTCTATCCGCTCTTTACTAAATAAGCGTCTGTTATCAGTAGCTCTGGCAAGGGCAACTTTAACACACCTGCGGGCCATCCAATCAGAAAGTAAAGCATCCAGTTCGGAAGCATGTTCGCTTAATTGTTCTGGGGTGGAGTCGGCCGACAAATTATACTTTTCTAGGAACTGATCCAAGATGCTGACATAGTTATTAGTTTTGGGTTTTCGAGTCTTTGGAGTGGTTGCTTTAGTAGCCATGTCAATGATAAGTAGATTAGTAGAATTTTTTTGGTATATGTACATTAAGAAAATCAAATCTTTAAAATAAAAAATAATTCCCATTTCTTCGGAAGACGTATCATATTTTTGAATATTTATCAGATCTATCTATAATAAAAAATGAAGGGAAGTTTGATGTATATTAATCTTAATAACTTTTCCAAAAAGAAGTACTATGAATCTTGGTGGAAATACAGCTGATTCAGAGGACTCTAAAGAGATCGCTTCTAATTTACCATCTTGGTTTTGCTAATATATCAAAAAAGATGGGTCTATCTGCGGGAAAAGATGCTTACGTGAGGCCAGATGTATTAGACATTATAAGTTACCACCCAAAAAAAAGTGTGTATTCTATAATAAGCTGACATATTCCCAAACTGACTTTTGTACGGATCATGCCAAACCTGTTTATAAGAAAAACTGGCTAGAGAGACACAAAAAAAAATAAAGATAATTTAACGCTTATTAATTGATTGTAACTATATCAAAAAGTTCCTGAATCGATTCTGGAGAAATAATTTTATTATCTGTTTTTAGCCTATATGGTGGAAGCTCTGGTGCGCCTTTATCTCCAAAACCAGTACTATTATATGGCTGGCGATTAATTTGGTATGAGTATTGCCTAACTTGTTGTCCTTTAGGCCCTATTCTTTTTTTATCACTTTCAATGGTGTACCCACACCAATTGCCAGCAATTGCATTTATTATTTTTATAGCTGAATGAAGATCTGGTGTTTCCTTTGCACGAGACTTAAAACCAAAGAGTAATAAAGATTGGTTTTGAATTTCTATAAACCTTTCACAAGACCGCATAAATGATTCTGATGCAGTATCGCCAGAAAGAGTACGCTTGTCATCTATGCCGGTAAAGCCTAGTATTTAAAAGAGTTCCCTTATAACTTTTCAATGATTAGCTGAATATGATTTGTGCAAGTCCTCCGCTACTGATTTCTCAGAATTATATCCAGCTTTATAATGAGTATCTTCCCATTGCGTAATATCTTTGGCCTCTAACCCTTTTATTGCACTCTCCTTATCATAGCCTTGCTTTAGAAAGTGAGATAATCACAAGAAATGTTTCCGAGGTTCAGGCGGACTGAAATGGATTACAAACTTTTTATTACAAAGATTATCCCAAATCTCATCGTCCATATCTTTACCATAAATATTTTGCATATAGAAATGTTTAAGTGCTATAGTATCTGGGATAGAGCGCTCTTGGTCAAATTTAAGATTTTCAGCTTCTTCAGGATCAAGATTCTGGGAAGTAGCAACCACATTAAAATCTGTTTCTTTGATAACAAATGCTTCAACCCTAACCTCATTGCGAACTTTTTACGATTCCCTATAACTCCTCGGCTCTCATCCATTTTTGTTAGCTGAAGAGAAGCACCGGTACTGGCTATAAGACTACAAAGCTTCTCAATAAAGTATCTCGCAGAAAGGCATTTCTGATGCTCAACTTCAATGAA